AGCACATGTATAGAAGATGATATAGTGACGAAAACATCACGATTGGAAAAGAATTGCACAAATTTGGTACAATGCCTTAACTCAAGCATCATGAAATATCCTACCTCTTGTTCCACTTAAGAGTGTTTGATTTTTTACCCACTAGTGTTATGCATTGACATTGTATTTTCTGGTACGTGATTTGAAAAACTTAGTAAAATTATCCAAATTCTGAATTATGGTCAATAGTTACATATAATTTTCAGTATGCAAGCAATACCTAGTTAAGTAAGAGAGAGCATCAATCAAATATGCAGGTTGTGAGAAGGATCCCATCGGGCCAATACGTAGCCGACTTTGTAAAATGACTACCATTTGATTATAAATTTTTGGGAAGTTGATGAATATGACATTGGAAAGTCAGTTAATAACTACAATAATTCTTGTAAATTCAAGTGGCTTAAACAGATTTTTTTCCCGATTTTACCCGTATTTCTTTAGTGACAAAAAAACGTATTTACGAAAGTGTCATTAATGAACCGGGATAATAAGTCTACAAAAGACGTTTTCCAAAATAAGTCTACAAGAATAAATCTACAAACAATGACCGTAGAGTTATTATGAAAATTGTAGACTAATTTTTCGATTTGTAGATTTATATCGTCTTGTAGATTTATCTTCTTATTCGTAGACTTTTGTTTGTAGATTTATTTTTAGTTTCCGTAGACTTAATTAAGTTTGTAGAGTTATTTCTATTATTGTAGATTTATGTTTGTAGACTTAATTAGTATTGCAGTAGACTTTTAAAAAATGTCAAAGTCGAAGTGGCATTTTGTATATTTATTAATAAATTTGTAGATTTATTGTTGTGTAGCCGTAGATTTATAGTTTTCTTGTAGACTTATTTGTTTTGGCCGTAGATTTATTTTTATGTTTATGTTACGGTAGATTTAGTTTACATTACTGTAGATTTATACATTGTCTTGTAGATTTGTTTATTTAACAGTAGATTTAAGGAACATGCTAACTTCCGTTTATGTTATGGTAGATTTATTTTCTTTGATTGTAGATTTATTGGTGCACAGTAGATTTATTCATTGTTGTGGTAGACTTATTTATAACAATTGCAATGATCATAGACTTTTATTTGTATATAACAACAGACGTAAACTAAGATGTAATGGTTGTAGACTTTTGTTTGTATATTACAATAGTAGTAGACTTAATTTACCGAGCGTAAATTTATTTAAAAAAATTGCAATGGCCGTAGACTTTTATTTGTTTATTACCACATAAGTAGACTTACTTCGTTGAGTGTAAACTTATTAATAGCAATTACAATGGTCATAGACTTTTGTTACTATAGTAAAATAATATTAGTGTGGGTTCGGAAAACCACACTCAAAATTTATGTGTATTTTGTAGGGAGAAATTGCCTGTGGAATCAGAGGTTAGATTCTGATGTAAGTCGAATGATTCGTAGACAAATATTTGACGAAATCGGACTTAGGCTAATCGAATAAAGTGGTTACAAAACCGGCCTAAAAGACCATGTAAAACACTAGGATTCGACTAAGCAAAAGAGATGGAAATGAGGTGGTGGCTGCGCTCGTTAACGAGCTGCCTACGTACCCTGTTTTAGGGATCAAGCCTGGACGTAGTTCGATGTAAGTTGTTCTCTATTTCGAGTCGTTTTCTGAAGAGAAATGACCACGAAAAGAGCTAAAGGGGTGTGAAGATGACGATAAATCTCAGGTTAATCGGAGTGATCCGAAGGTAAGAGATTACGTCAAACTTCTGCCGGAAGTGATTTCCGGCTAGAAAGATCAGGGCTTTCTGGGATTATCTCAAAGACCAAGGATAAGATCGAAGAGAAAAGATGTCAGAATATCTCAAGACAAAGAAGTGAGAAAGATGTTTTCTAGGAAAGGAAACTTTTCATTCAGGAATTCGTTCTCTCTCGGAAATGAGAAGGATTAAACTTATCTCCAGGAAATGGAAGGAAAAAACTTATGCCTTGTGATCAAGAATCGTCCTCCTTTTATAGCTCCGAAGTAGATCGCAACCTCCTCCGCGTATCTCGTCCACGTGCAACTACCGATCCCGCTATTTCCGGATCTGAACGATCAAAGCGAGATTCTCGTTTGACCCGTTCAAACTCAGCTTGCGGACTTGACTCCGTCGAGCTAGAGCTCGACTTCGTCTTCACAAGTAGCTCGGACAGTAAACAGCTGGATTTTGGACAAGGATATTTGGCGGGCTCGAGGTCATTTTACTGGGCCTGAGTGGACTTATCTTGACCTTAGGACTTAGGTGATGGGCCTTATGGGCCGGATTTCTGGAGGGAAATCCAGGTCCAACAATAGCCCCCCAGCTCATTAAGTGAGTATAATCAAGCTTAATGAGCGGTAGGTTGTTTTAAAATTGTCCCGCAGTCCCATCGAACTAAATCATGACTTTGAACGGTCATTAGAGATCGACGGTCGTAAACGGGAAGGCAAGAGATCTTTGAGATCTCGCCGTTGAATAATAGTTTCACCTTAAAAGACAAGGTAATTGAAACAACCAACATTTTTTTTTTTAATAAATATTAATCAATTCTAGCGAAGGTCTTAAAAATAAATTAAATAAATAAAATATCAATAACAAATAAATCAGCTCAGCGGAAGCAAATAATAATTAAACAAGTCTAGCAAAATAATGCAAAACAATAAAACAGTAAACATCCTATCATCCCCCTCTTCAGCCTTGATTCCGCGATCACACAAATCTTTTACCTGCAACACATTGGAATGGAGTTGCGTAAGTATTTAATAAATACTTAGTGAGGCAATCACTCTGCCTACGAGCCATTTACGCAATTTACTAGATATTTAATAATATTTATAAACTTCAATAATTATTAAATACCATTTTCCAATTATTAAATAATTTTAATAATTAAAACTCAATTTCTCAATTATTAAATAATTCTCATAATTAAATAATAATTTTCCATATTTTAAAATAATTAAAATAATACCAATTAATTAAATAAATATTATTTAATTAATTAAATCCGAATTAAATCTATTTAATTCCATTAAACCAATTAAATTCAATTAAACCAATTAAATTCAATTGAACCAAGATAAACCAGAATCAAATCAATTAAATTCAATTAAACCAATAAACCAGATTAAACCACACAAACACACAATTCATCACATGAACAACCAAAATATCATAAAAATAACAATTAAAAACATAAACTCATCAAGAACAACCACAAACCAAATCTAATCTAGCAAATCACGGACCCACAGTCATGCACTCACCTTGACAATTGACTGAAACTGAAGGAAAAATGAAGACGATGAACAGTGCCGAATCGCGGATGAACAGTAACCCGTGAACAGTACCGATGAACAGTAACCCGTGAACAGTCCGATAAACAGTAAAATTCGAAAATCTCTCCAAAAACTCAACTTTTCTCCTCTACAGCATCTGAACTCGAAAATTCTCCAAAGAGAAGACGGCTGCACTCTTTAAACTTGATTTTAGGGCTTTCTCCACTAAACCGACCCAAACCAATTCACTTAAATTGAACCGACAAAATTCCCAATTTTTATTTTTTGGTTTATGGATGTTACAGTAATAACTTATTCTTTAGATCGACAATCAAGATCGAAAATAGATCGAAGAGCTATTATGATCTTAAGAGTCGAGCTTTTCGAGAGTAATGAAAACCTTAGGAGAAGATTTGCGATTATCAACTCTTTTAGATTGTTTCTCGAGAAGGCTTTTGGTTTAACTAACTCAAACATTGCGCGAGCTCTTTTTGAGTTAATCGATTATTTTTCGAGTTCGACCAATTGTTGATTAAATTCTTTAATCGAACTTGGTCGCTTTAAGTCGGACTGTTTTTCCGGACTCGAACTCGAAAAAGATACGACTAAATGAATTTTAGTCGGTTTATTTGATTGAATTCTCGCATAAGATTTTCGGCTGACCGAGATCTAGCAGAAAAGACTTTGCCAACTCTTCTGAAAGTTGCTTCAAGTTAAACTGATTTCTTTTTGAAATTTCGAGTCAAACTTGGCATGATTTCGACTAAGTATTTGTTTTATTTAGGTCGAGCTAAATAAAACTAGTCTTTGGTTCGAATGTTATTTTGACCAAACGTTCGAGCTTATCATTGAGCTAAGCTGAACAAAGACTTAGTCAATATCTTTGAAGATATTCTTAAGGTCGGGTTAGAATCTATTGAGAATCTAGCTCGATCTTGAAGATGTTCTCGAGTTTTAGCTCGAGAATTTGGCTGAGTGCTTGACTGCCATTCAAATCAGACTAGGTGAGACTTAGTTGATTTCTTGGGATCATATAAGATCAAGCAAGAATCTATTTAGAATCGAGCTTGACAGGATGGTATATGTCCCGAGCGAACTTCGAATCGAGCTCGATGCTGCGATAGAGAAAGTTTTTCGCTGTAATGACTTGGGCAAGTCATATGTTTTGCTTCGGACTTAATACATGTGAGGCTTTCATCCATTTTTAGCAACAAAATTTTGTTTGTTACTGTTTTTCGCCGCGTTCCATCTGTTACAGATTAGAGCCCGACTTCGAGTATCCCACCTCTTGGAAGAGAGAAGATTTCTCGCGAGCTAACGTTTTGTGAACGATTTGCAAAGTCGGCTGCCGCTCGTTGTGAGCAAGCAATCCAATCTAGAGCTAATGGAGTTGTGGAGATTGTCCATGTTGCGGTTGAATATACTCTTCGTGATGAAGTAGTAGGTCAGGTTCTTCATGCTGCTATGGGGATAATAAGTGACTCATTTGAGACGAACTATCTCGTTGAGGTCGAATAGCGAACAATGAGGATGGAGCTCGAAATGAGCAAGAGATGATAATCGGACTCCGAATTTGTCGAGCTCCTTGAAAAAGCGAGTTAACTCGACGGCGAGTCCGTCATCCCTTTTGTAAATAGATTGTTCGAAGGATGTGCCAGTTTTGGATAATCCTTGAACATTCATGTTGCGCCAATGCGGGCCTGCTGCAAATCAATCTCCAGTTTTGGATATGACGCTCGAGAGGAGCTGTATGCGGCAGCGATGGCGGCGGATGAGAAGGTATGGTTTTACCTTTTCTAAGTTTTTGCCGATGATTTGATATCTTCGGACTTAATATTTGCGATTCTCTTTATCAAGCTTTGAAGGTAACATGAAGCTCTCGCTCGTTGTGAACAAAGGTTACATGAAGCGTCTTGGCAAGATGAGCTTGATAAGATGAAACATGGTAGATGAGCTCGATACTGAGCTCAAATATTGAGAAGATAGAGTAGCTCGTCAAAGTGCGGCTTGCTAAGGATGAGCTCTATTCTCGTTTAAGTTTCGAACAAGTTAGCTCAGCAAGGTTTTATGCTTTGCCTTTGGATTTGGTGCCTGGAAGGCTTTTATCCTTTTATGTTCAAACTTGTTTGCTCGGAATGAGCTTGGTGTTTGATAATTTTTCTTAGACGTTTGATGTCTTAGAGTTTATCTTTGTTTTCCAGATCAATTGACTGTTAGCTCGATTGTTCGAACATTAGTCGTTTTGGTTTGATTGGAGATTTGACCTAGCGTGTAAGCTAACTGGTCGGACCGGATGAAGCTCAGTTGATCTCTTTGAGAATCGTATAAAGTTGAGCTAGTTTCTTTTTGAATTCCAGCTCGAGCTTTTAACGTGTTGAGCTTCAACTTGGAAGGTTGCGTCGGGTTGAGCTAACCTTTGTCGGTTGAAAACGACTGATTTTAGATGATCGTCTGAATTCAGTAGGTGGTTCTACACAATCAGCACTCGAGCTTTCATCTTTAAAGATTACTTTAAGTCGAGGTGATTTCCTTTCAGACTTCAGTCGGATTCGACCGGTGTTTGCCAATTGCGTGATTTTGTAGATTGATCTACATGATCAGCATTGGGCTTGATTAGAAAGACTGCTCGGGGTTGAGCTGATTTCCTTTAAGATTATCAATCGGATTCGACGATGCCAGTTGTGTGATTAGTAGATTGATCTACAATCAGCTCGGTGCTTTAGCTTGAAAGGACTGCTCGAATCGAGCTGATCGCCTTTCAGATTTCAGTCGGGTTCGACTGGTTTTTGCCAGTTGTGTGATTCGTAGATTGATCTACATGATCAGCACTTGGCTTAATCTTCGAACAGCTCGGTATCGAGCTGATACCTTTCAGATCTTCAGTCGGATTCGACTGGCTTTTGCCAATTGTGTCTTGTAGATTGATCTACATGATCAGCACTTGGTCTTAATCTTCGAGGAGCTCACTCGAGCTGATCACCTTTCAGATCTTCAATCGGATTCGACTGGCTTTTGCCAAGTTGTGTGATTCGTAGATTGATCTACATGATCAGCACTTGGTCTTAATCTTCGAGGACAGCTCGGTACTCGAGCTGATACCTTTCAGATCTTCAGTCGGATTCGACTGGCGTTTTGCTAAGTATTCGATGTCCTTAGGAGTAATTCGAATGTTTAGCTGATTTGGGTTGTTGGGCCCAAAGTTTAATTTTTAGTCCTAGACCGATGGTAGGTTCTAGGTGATCTCTAGGATTAGAATTGATCTCTCTTCCTAGCTTCTGGAGTCGATCTCGACCTCCTTCGCATATCTCGTCCATGTTCAAACTGCCATTCTGGCTGTTTCCGGGGCTCATCGGTATAAGCAACATTATCACATCACACGCAAAGTCCAGCTATTTCATGGTCTTATCGGTCTGCAATATCGTCACCCGACTCAAACAGACCAGCTATTTCATGGTCACATTGGTCTAAGCGATATTACCGCCTGACTCGTACAGCTCGGACATTACCGGAGCTCATCGATCTCAGTAGTATTATCGCCAAACACGTACAGCCCGGTCTTGAAGACTTGATTCCGTCGAGGTATTACTCGACCTCGTCTTTACAAGTAGCCCGGATGTAGTATGTACTTAGATAAGTATACTTGATGGGGTCAAGGTCAGCCTTACTGAGCCTGGACGGACTTTTCTTAGTCTTAGGATCTTGATAGTTGATGGTGGCTGCGCTCGTACTTCGAGCTGCCTACGTACCCTGAATAGGGATCAAGCCTAACGTAGTTCAGGTTCTAGACCGAGAATAGGTTCTAGATGATCTTTAAATTAGAGTCGTGCTTTTTTCATAGCCTCTGAGGTCGTTCTCGTCCTCCTCCCCAACTGTTTCCAGGGCTCATCGGTATAAGCAACATTACCGTCAGACACGTCAGACCAGATATTTCATGGTCTGTTGGTCCGAGCGATATCGTCACCCGACTCGTGAGATCCAGATAATTCCGGAACTCATCGGTCTGAGCGATATTACCACCTAACTTGTACAGTCCGGACATTACCGGATTCCGTCGGTCTAAGTAATATCACCGCCCAACACGTACAGCTCGGCTTGAAGACTTGATTCCGTCGAGGTATTACTCGACCTCGTCTTAACAAGTAGCTAGGGTAGCATATCTGCTTGGACAGATATGCTTGGCGGGGTCGAGGTCAGTCCTCCTCCCCAACTGTTTCCAGGGCTCATCGGTATAAGCAACATTATCGTCAGACACGTCAGACCAGATATTTCATGGTCTAGTTGGTCCGAGCGATATCGTCACCCGACTCGTGAGATCCAGATAATTCCGGAACTCATCGGTCTGAGCGATATTACCACCTAATTTGTACGGTCCGGACATTACCGGTTTCCGTCGGTCTAAGTAATATTACCGCCCAACACGTACAGCTCGGCTTGAAGACTTGATTCCGTCGAGGTATTACTCGACCTCGTCTATACAAGTAGCTGGGGTAGCGTATCTGCTGGACAGATATGCTTGGCGGGGTCAATGTTAGTCCCACTGGGCGTAGATAGACTTCTCGCGATCTAAAGATCTGGATAATGGTGGCTGCGCTCTTGGGTGGAGCTGCCTACGTACCCTGAATAGGGATCAAGCCTAAACGTAGTTCAAGGGGGAGTGAGAGTTTGTAGACGTTTTGCCGAACTACTTTGGTGATGGGATTAGGTCATTCCAAGTTGGTTCCTGTTTCCTTATCACCGAACTCTCTTTGCCATGACGTATTAACTTGAGCTTGCTTTTTCGAGCTTTATTACGAGTTAATCATCGTGGGCTTTTTCTTGGAACCTATTGGTTTTCAAGAGTTTGGTTTTTAGGTCGAATCTTTCTAGAGGAAGAGCTCGTCTAGAAGATTTGACCTTTTGTTGTATGCTTTGATCGAGTTGTTCGAGTCTTAGCACTTGTTCGAGCCTCCGCGAATGAATTTAATTCATTTGAGGGTGGGTGGCTCCACTCCCCCGAAAACTTGTGAAATCAGCGTGAGCATGAGTTCGCAAAGTTCTTAAACTCGGGTTGAGGTTTTCGTTAGCTGTCTGAGAAGACGCTCCACTCCCCCGCGAGATTGTGAGCTCTGCATAAGCTAGAGCTCGCTATCTTTTGGTGCGGGCGGGCGGGTGACCGCGAGGGTCATTGAGCTGCGGCGTGAGCTGAGCTCTCTGAACACTGGGTCGAGTCGAATCGCTTCTTATGTGAAAGAGGTGATTCTTGGGAGATGATTCCGATCTCGCGTTCCCTTTTTCGGGGTGCTTTGTCGTTATCGTTCGATGAGGGCTGATTGGCTTTTTCCATTTTGCCTCAGCTCTCCGCTTTTTAGCTAATTCCTTAGCTCTGGCTCGGCATTCGTCGGTGGAATGGCCGTAGATTTGTGATGTTCGCAGAACTTCTCTAAATCGGAACTCGGGTTCGGTTTGAGAACTGAGTTCGCGAATGAAAGAGAGTGTTGCGGTAATCTTCCTTTGCGATGTCTTTCTAGGAGGAGATTGATCTCCTCTTCAAAAGTAGCAAAGGTTGACGCGCAGCGAAGTGCATCGTCGAGTGATACAGGAGGTCGAACGATTAGTTCTTCTCTGAATTTTGATTTGTACCACAGGTTGTGTCGGAAGGCTAGTAGAGCTACTGCCTCGTTAGGGTTTTCGATCTTAGCAATGATTGCTTTGAATCTATTGACGTAGGATCGAAGTGATTCGTTTGGAGCTTGAGGAAGCTTCCAGAGATCGGCTTCGAAACTTCTGATTCGATGAAGATCGAATATTGGTTTACGAATGCCGAAATCAGCTGGTCGAAATTATCTATTGATTTTTCATCCAGCGTTTCAAACCATTTTTTAGCTGGTCCGGCTAGGTTTTCAACAAAGAGTTGGCAGCAAGCTGCTTGTATCTCTTCGGGAGAAAACTGAGCTCGAAGTATTTCGAGATAAAGAGCTCGGAATATAAGCTCGTGGATCGCTGTTACCAGAGTATTCTGGGATACATAGCTTGTAAGTATCGCGCAGATAGGTGTTAGCGATCCTGGATGAGAAGGGAGTTGTTGTGTCTCCCTGATTACTTTGTCGATATCCTGGAATCGAACTCATTGTTTGGTTAAACGTTGAGTTCGCTTGCCGGAATGCGAGGTTTGTTTGGTCCTGGAATCTTTCGAAAGATTCGCAGTCCAAAAGGTTTCGCGGATCGACAGGAATCCGATTAGCTGGAATCGGATGGGATAGAGCTCGATTTGACGAGCTGTTTGCTTTGTCAATCGAGCTAGATC